CTTTGTGATTATTATGTTTTAGCTACTGCCACTGGGCCAATCCATCTCATTGGGAATCTTTCTCTTTTTCACTGACCTTCCGCTTTAGTAAGGATGATGTCCTTCTTCAGGGACTGGTCCTGCCTGACAGCACATCCAAAGAATGAGAAATGACTTCTGGACTTCCTGGCTTCTGTGGAACATTCTGACTGTACTCCCAATACAGATTTGTTGTTCTCCTGGCAGTCCATTGTACTTTCAATGTTTTCCACCAACACCATAATTCAAATGCATTGATTCTTTTACAGTCTTTCTTATTGTCCTATTTTCATATGCATATGAGACGATTAAAAATGCCATGGTTTGGGGCAGACACAGTTTAGACTTTAAACTGATATCTTTGCTCCTTAACACTTTAATGAAGACTTTTACAACAGATTTGCATAGTGACCTTTGATGTCTTGACTGCCGCTTCCATGAGTGCTGACTGTGAATCCAAGCAAAGTGGAGTCTTTGAGAACTTTAATCTCTCTTCATTAATTTTGGAATTATTTATTGGTCTAGTTGTGAGGATTTTTGTTTTCTTTTAATTGAAATGCAATCCATACTGAAGGCTGTAGTCTTTGATTTTCATCAGTAAATATTTCAAGCCCTCTTCCCCTTCATCAAGCAATATATTCTGCACATTGCAAGTTATTAATGAATCTTTCTCCAATCATAATGCCTTATAACCTGGTCCTCACATTATTTGCTCAACATACAGATGGAATAAGTATGGTGAAAGGATATAATGCTGGAATGCATTTTTCCTGATTTTAAATCATTCAATATCCCCTTTGTTTTCTGCCTTTTGGTCTATTACTGTTTCTTCATGACTATAATTCTGTGTTTTAGAATCCCCAGTATCCACAGTTTGTTATGATCCATACAGTCAAATGCATTTGTATAGCTTATAAGGTGTAATGTGTAAACATGTTTCTGATATTCTTTACTTGTAGCCAATATCCATCTGACATCAGCAATGATATCTCTCATGTTACCTCCTCTTCTGAATCTGACTTGAATTTCTGGCAGCTCACTGTAGATATACTGCTGCGACCATTTTTAAGTATCTTCAGCAAAAATCTACTTGCACATGATGTTAATGATATTGTTTTAAGATGTCCACATTCTGTTGAGTCATCTTTTTTGGAATGGGCACATATATAGATCTCTTCCAATCAGTTTTCCAGGTAGCTGTCTTCCAAATCTCTTGGCATAGTCTAGTGAGAGTTTCACCATCAGATTGCCCACTCATGTTGGTGTTTGGCCTGTAGGCATGAATCTATCCTGTGCTGTCATTGGCTACTCCAAGTGAATGTTTTGTCCCATTCCTCTGGAGAAACCCACTAACCTAATGGTGACTCCTAATGCTTGGGGCAGTTATGGGGAAGAGTGACCATTCTGCACTCAGAGATTGTGGTTACAGATTGGACTGCTAACCTCAAGGTCAGCAGTTCAAAACTACCAGCCATTCTGTGGGAGAAAGATGAGGCTTTCTGCTCCCATAAAGATTTACAGCCTCAAAAACCCTGTACAGGGTTGCTATGAGTTGGAACCGACTCCATGGCATACCACCACCACCAGCTCAATTCCCTCAGGTAGGATGGTGAGGAGTGGACAACCACCACTAGATGCATCAAAGCAAAAGAGAAGGCCATAAAGGAAGTGATTAGACAATTTTACTACATAAAAATGAGTAACTTCTGAACATTAGTAAGTAAAAAAACTTCTTAGACTTTGACGATCCATTCCAAATATTAGATCTGATGATTCTATGATATATTCAGATGTTATTGTTGTTATTGTTAAGTGCCATTCAGTCAGTCCCAACGTAAAGAGTTCTGACTCATAGCAATATAGCATAGGGTTTCCAAGGAGTGGTTGGTGGGTTTGAACCACAGCCCGTGCAGTTATCAATCCACTGCTGATCTTATAGCACCACGCCAGGTCTCAGATAGTTTATAATGATTAGATGAATGATGAAGATAACCTATTGTTGTTGTTGTTAAGTGTCGTCGAGTCGGTTCCGACCCATAGCGACCCTGTACAGGGTTTCCGAGGGTGTAAATCCTTATGGGAGTAGAAAGCCTCATCTTTCTCCCGCGGAGCAGCTGGTAGACTAAACAATATTTATCACACTGGTCCCAAAGCCTTAATTTCATCACAATTTTCTGTTTTACAAAGATGCATTAGTATAGAGGAAAAAAAAAAAAAATGTTCCATGGATTACCAAAAGACTTATGACTAGTTAATTCTGTTACATTTGTGCACTAGAATTCAGTATTAAGATGGAGAATTAAAGGGAAGTGGATATGGTAATCTTGAGTCAGACTCTGACTTATCTTCATGTAGAAGATTAAAGAGTAAACCAGAGAAGTAAATGAAATAAATCTCAATAGCATGATTTCTCAAGCTTATCTGACTTAAGAGCTCGTGTACTTTGCAAACTACCTATATACAAAGATACACAAAAAATATGAGAAGACATATATCCTTGCTTGGCGAATGTTCTTTAGGGCTCAAGTCTGGTTCTAAGAAAACTGTAATTTGGGACAAGGCTCATTTTTCAATAATGTCTTCATCATTAGAGATTTCCTGTTCATCCTTAGCTCAAGCATTCAATACTGATGAATATGCATTAATGAATATTGCATACTGGTAAAGAATGCATGTTCTGAAGCCAGGCTGCTTTTGTACAAACTCCAATTTTTCTGCTTATAATTTTGAACAAACTATGTAGCTCTCCAGAGGTTCCTCTGTCTGTAAAATGGGACATGATAAAAACAAAACTTACATGGGCTTTTGTAAGAAGTGAACATGCTAACCATTAAGGACGTTGTTGATACAATTGGGAAATTGTGTAATACGGATGCTCTATAAGAAAATATATTGTTCCTATGTCCCAATTTTGAGAATGGTAATGGCAATTTGATATATAAGGGCCTTCTTTGTTTTTATATTAAATTCTTAAGTTTTTTAAGGGTCAAGATGTCATGGTGTTTGAAACCTACTTGGCAGGAAAGTATCATGGATATCATGGTAATGTCTTGGTGTCTGAAACTAAAGGCTTGGCAGGAAAGTATCGATAAGTGAAGAAATACAGAACCACTGCCATAGAGTTGATTGTGGCTCATAGCAACTCTTTAGAATTGTGGTTAGCCCCTATGCTACCAGAGCTCCTTATGTGATGAAAGACACACATACGTAAACAGAATGAGATAATGAAAGTAAAAATGGCAAAATGTTGACTATTAGTAAATCTAACTGAAATGTGTACTAAGCATGCTTATGTACTGGTCTTTGAACTTTTCTGAAGGCTTCACATTTTTCTAAGATCTCTCTGAGAACAGAATTTTTTTCATATCCTCAATGTCTAAATACTGGTTGGCTTCAAACTAGATACTTCATCCAATAATAAATTAAATAAATAATAAATTCTAGCTCTTCTTATTGTTCCCATTGTCTATTTTCTTTCACTATTTTGGTTAGAAAATTTGCTCTCATGTTTGTACTGAAAGTGTAAATTTCTTTTGAGGCTTTTCTGACCCTCTTTAGTGTATGTGTGTGTGTAAGAGTTTTTCTACACCACCCCAAATCCTAACCTCACCTCAAATCAAAAACACGTCACAATAGAATTGTCAGATACAATACAGGACACTTCGTAAAATTTGATTTTCAGATAAGTAAAATAATTTTTTAGTATAAGTATATTCCAACTACTTCATGGTAGCTAAATATTGCATGGGGCATATTTGCATGTAAACATTTCTGTTAAGTGAAGTCAAGTCCATTTGGACTCATAGCAACCCTGTATAGGATCTCTGTGGCTGTAAAACCTTGTGAGCAGAAAACCTCATCTTTCTCCTGCAGAGTGGCTGGTGGGCTCAAACTACTAACTTTATGGTTCCCAGTCCAGTGCTTATCCTAGAGAGCCACCATGTTCTCCACATATAAAAATCACTCACTGTTTATATGAAATTAAATTTTAGTAGGCATCCTCTACTTTATTTGCTAACTCTGGCAATGGTAAATGTTGCTGTTGGTAAATGCCATCAAGTCAGTTCTGATTCATAGTGGCCCTACATAGGGTTTCCGAAGAGGATCTGGTGAGTTTGAACCACTAACCTTGTGATTCAAACCGACCTTACAGTCCAGTGATTATCCTACAGTGCCATACTAGAACTCCTTAATAGAAGTCATTTATTCCCCTGATGTATATGACTGATTCTGGCTACAAGCATGGCAAAAAAATTTTTTTTAAAGTTATGTTGATTTATTTTAATTTATGTATATAATTCCTTTGAGTTGAGAACCATAGTAAGAATGAGCTTTTGATCTTCGATCTGATTTGTCTTCCATTGTTTCCCCCTTCCAATTCAAAATCTCTCATTTTCTTCTTAATTATAACATATTTGAAGGACTGCATTTTTATTTGAAATATAATCCATTGACAGAATGTACATATTGGTTGCATAAAAATACATAAGAATGATACTTAAACTTAATATACAGTGTTGGATAGGTAGTATGATTAAAGAACTACACATTTATTGTATACAGTGTCATTAATATCAACGCATGTTTCTTAGAATCACTTCTTGTATAGAGTGTGTTTTGGCAGTTAACAATAGAGCAATCACATGAAAATACTGTTTCTAGAACTAACAACCTTAAAAACATTTAAAAGCCCTCTATCTTATATATTGCTTTACTACTTGATACATGGCCTTGTGTTACTTACAATGGCCTTCAATAGCATACAAGGGAAAACAACAAGAAGCCCAATACTCGCAGAAGAAATTACAGAGGAAAAGAAAACATGAAAAACAACAACAAAAAAAAACAACACTTTGGAATAGTAGCACCATTCCACATTGTTCTATACACGTGTTTGTTATATTGCACCTTCCTGAGTTGAACTTTGAACCTGGAAATCACATACAACACTAAAGTAGATGAATTCTTGCCAGGCTTAGACTTCACTGGTTGTAGTAATAATTATGACTATCATAGCCATCATAACCTTGCCCTTTGAAGTAACTGTACTCATCTTCATAGGCTCGGTAATTGTCCCCACGAGGTTCTCCATTCTCATTTTCATAGACTTCATATCCATTATCGTATTCATTGGTGCCTGTTTGCTCATACTCACCCTCATACCCAGTAGTGGTGGTTTCTCCAAATGGTGCGGTTGTGGTCACATGGATCTGTCGTAGTGTTGTGGGTTCAAACACAGCATTTGGAGAGGTGGTTGTTTTCAAGCCACCATTGTTCTGTTCTCCATTCATTGGGGTACCTTCCACATTAGCTTCAGTGACACTTTCTTCTTCACCTCCTTCTTCTTCATTGTCTCCACCACTGCTACCATTGCCATTTTCTACATCTGTGCTGTTGGTGTTGGTGCCATTTATGCCTTGCCCATTTTCATCCACTTCAGCTTCATTTTCTTCATTTTCTTCATTTTCATTCTCTTCTTCTTCCTCTTCTTCTTCATCACTTTCCTCCTTTTCGGAAATGTTTCCTGTATCTCCAGTCTGTAAGGAAAAGTTTTAAAGCATCCAAATCAGGATATTAAAAAATAAAAAAATTAAAGACCACCACTCAATTCAACCTAGTATTCTCTACTGACTACCGTAATCTAGATGTAATTTTGAATTAAAGCAGCGTTAACTAACACAAGAATTGGTAGGGCTTTACAAATTTAGAATAAGTATCATTTCATTGGGTTTTGATGGGGAGAAATTTGGTTGGCTTCTTTGTGGGAGATGTGGTCTATCATTGTTCTACTAAATTTTTCTTCTTCCCTGAAATGCAATTGTATCAAACTGGTCACATTTCTATACAGAATTTTTATGCATTTCTGAAATGCATGTCCTAAGTCTTCTGTTATATGTAGAAAGTCTTTGTAGTAACATGTACAGGAGAATTTGCTTGGGGAAATATCTTTCTGTGTCTGTAATCATGAAAAATATACCCACCCCTGCATTTTCAATGAGTTAGTGAAAATACAAAATACTATGTGTGTAGTTCTGGAAATTCTTAGACTTCCATAAAGAAATGACAATGGATTGAACTGGAGAATAATTACCTTCTTAGGAAGCTGGATTGCAGCTAATCCTATGCTCCCTGTTCCAGGTGTATTCTCCTCTCCATACCCAAGTGTTGTAGTAGAAAGTGTAGTGTTCTCAGCCTCAGAGTCTTCATCTTCATTTCCATTAGAATTTTCATTCTCCTCATTTTCTTCTTCATTTGAAGACTCCTGAAAACATTCATAGTAAGAAAAGTTATTTTAGCCTGAAAAGAACTCAAGGTTTGTTGGAGTTGTGAACTATTATTAGAAAGAACTTTGTAACCCTCAGCCAGCCCACGTCAGTCAAAGATGGCTCTCCTGCCGCCCCTTTTGTCATTTTGTATTTCTCACTTCTAAGAACTTGTTTCAAAGTTATCTTATTCTATTGCTATAGATAGTGTGTTTTAGACATTTCTGCTTTCTACCTTATCAATTAAAAAATAATGTATATAATTATTTCTGCATATCAGCCTCGGAAACCCTTTGCAGGGTTGCTATGAGTTGGAACCGTCTCCACGGCACATAACAACAACACCAACGACATACATTTATTAGACTCTCAAATCCTTACTAATATCAACTACAACATGGTAGTAAATGAATTCTTGTATTTTCTGACCACTAAGCAGAAAGTTTGATAGCCATTTTATTTATTCATTACAATGCTCCTTCAGATTTTGAAATGAGGGGACCAGTTGAGTCCTGTACCTTTATTTCAAAATCTGAGGTCCATGGGAATAAATGACTTGCATGATATTAGTTCCTGATTTTCCAGCTGCTAGATTTCCATGTTTTGTACTAAAACACCATTTCTTTTTCTAAATACTAGTCTAAGGATGCCCTACTTACAATGAGTTTAAAAAGAAAATAAGTCCGTTTTCTGATGAATACTAGTTTTCAAATATATCATTATAAAAGAAAAATAAACAATGATTTATGATTTAAGCCAAAATCAAGGAGTCTTGGTAACGCAGTGGGTTAAATGCTGGGCTGTTAACGTCGAGGTAATGACGAGAGCCCTAATCTTCCAATTCCTAGACCTCTGTATTTTCTCTTCAAATGCAGTTCAAAACCAACAGCCTCTTTAAGGGAAAAGATGAGGCTGTCTGCTCCTGTAAAGATTTACAGTCTTAGAACCCCTACGGAGCAGTTCTGTGTCCTAGAGGGGTCACCATGAGTAAGAACGGACACAACAGTAGTGGGTTTTAAGCAAAACAAAACAAAACAACAAACCAGTTGCTGTTTGAGCCTATTTTGATTCATGGCAACCCTGCGTGTCAGAGAAGAACTGTGTTCCATAGGGTTTTCAATGACTGTGAGCTTTTGGAAGGAGATTGTCAGGGCTTTCTTCTTAGATAGTCCTGGGTAGATTCAAACCACCAACCTTTCAGTTAGTAGCCAACCACTTAACCACTTGAGTTACCCAGCTACTCTCTATTAACTCACTGGTGGTGGTGGTAGTTATGTGCTGTGGAGTCAGTTCTGACATACAGCTACTCTGTATAGGGTTTTGGAGGCTGTAAGTCTTTACAGAAGCAGGAAGTCTCATCTTTCTCCTTCATTAAACCACTAGGAAGATTAAAATGACTGAAGAAAACACATTTTTATGAGAATAAGGATCAACTGAAACCCTCTAAAAATAATGATGAGGAATTACATTAACACAACTCATTTGGAAAATTGTTCAACTTCATCTACTAAGATGGAACATATGCAGATATTTTGCCACAGAAATTTCACAACTAGTAAATCACCCTACAGAAATGAACTCATATGTGCATCATAAGAAGCACTAGAATGTTCATAGCGGCAGTATTTGTAAAAGCATATACTAGGAAATTACTCAAATGTCCATCAGCGGAATAATAATACATTCTGGTACATTCACATAGTAAAAGGCTGACTTTGAGAAAGAATGATCTGTTACTACAGAACAATATGAATGAATTTATGAAATTGACAATAGAAGAATCATGCTCAAAAGAGTACACGCTATACTTAAAAGAGTAACACCCCCAAAAAGGCAAAAGTAATATCCAACAGAATTCTGAGGAGCAGTTAATGAATGGATGGAGCACAAAACATGTGGGATATGTTGATATGGGAGCTGGTTATACTGGTGAATTCTGCTTCTGAGATCTCAGTGAGTTTCACACTTACGATAATTGTGTTACATATGCATTACAGTTCAATAAAAATTTGAAAAGTGCAGCAGATTAATTTAGGAGTAAGAAAGAATGTATGATAAACAAATAGAAAATATTCCTAAGCATATTTAATGTGCTTATGTGAATACAATGGTTAGAGACTCCATACTCAACCTAAATCACCAATGGAATTTAAGGAAAGAATTGGGGGGTAAAAAGGGTTTCAGAATTTCTTCAGAAAGAAGATTCAATTTTATTCAAGCACTTTCTTATTATAACTTTTAAAGAATTTTCTGTGGTGCATTTATTCCTCCACTTAATAAATATTTATTTTAAATATTTATTAGGCACCACATACTTATATATTTAAATAAATATTTTTTAAAATAAGGCACTATGGTAGACAGTGTGAGGAGATACAAAAAGAGAATAAGGAATAGTTCTTTCCAAAAGCAATGATTGTAACCTAAGATCCCTCATCTTCTGAAGTATAGGAGATTAAAGATACATTCAGGGAGGACAACAAATGTCCAGAAATAGCTGGCAACATTTTGTATGTGTGTGTGTGTGTGTATTTTGTGAAATTTCCAGAAGAGACCTAATCTTTCTCCACCACTCACAACTAGTGAAAAACCACTGTCAAAAAGGAATCAATCTAATTAGGAAATCTAGCTTGAAAGACAATTTTACAAGCACAAATTGTATAGCAAACAACTGAAATTAGATGAGTTACTGACATTTAGTTCTTATGTAAGATTACTAGTTGGGTATTCAGGCAAGATTTCACAGGCTTTAGTGGGCAGCATTTTCCCTGATATGGCTTGCTGCTCTAGTAAGGCTTTCTTTTAAGTGATTTGAGTAAATTATGGTGCTGAAATTGCTACTTTGTGGTTCAAAACAAAACAAAACAACAGCTTAATAATTTATGACCTTTTAAGTCCCTATACCACTTCACTTTCAAGAGAGCAGCTGTTTATCCATGATCTATTTTCAATTGTAATGTCTGTTCATAAATAATACCCAAAAAAGGTTCCCAAGCTAGTGGATGGCTATAATTGATTATACAGGAAAATATATCCTTACAGGTATATTTCTTTGTGTGAGAGTATCAGTGGTGAAGATGTTAGCTTACTTTCTGAGATATATAGATGTGTTTTGTTGTTGTTGTTGTTAAGTGCTGTAGAGTCAGTTCTGACTCAGCAGTCCTGTAGAGCATTTCCAAGGAGCAGCTGGTGGGTTTGAACTACCAACCTTGTGATTTGCAGTCCAGTGGTGACCCTAAAGCAGCACACCAGGAATCTAGATGTGTTTTAGCCATTGATTAATTTTTAGTACTATATAGTAAGAGCTTTATTTTATATCTCATTTTGAATGTTTGTATTTATGTAAGAGCATACATTTTATTATTAGATGAAATGGTGATGGTGTTCCATGGAGTCGGTTTCAACTCATAGCTACCCTGTACAGGGTTTCCGAGGCTGTAAATCTTTACAGGAGCAGAAAGTCTCATCTTTCTCCCGTGGAACCGCTGGTAATTTTGAACTGCTGACCTTGAGGTTCGCAGCCTAATTCGTAACCACTATGCTACCAGAGAAGGAGCTCTGTTTAGTATCCTATTTGATTTTTGTGCTGACTGGTTTGTCATGAAATGATTGCAGGCATTCCTTACCTCTTCTTCCTCCTCCTCTTCTGAACTATCACCGTTTCCATTTTCTTCAGATGAGTCACTATTGCCCTAAACACATACATATAAAACAGAAATTTAAATTACCTGGTGATTGTAGTAAACTAAAATACATTCAAGTATTCATTAAAACAAATGAATTTTTTTGTTGTTGTTGTTAAGTGCCGCAGAGTCAGTTCCGCCCCATTGAGACCATGTATAGGATTTTCAAGGAGTGGCTGGTGAGCTTGAACTGCCGACCTTGAGGTTCAAAATGAGTTTGCAGTCCAGTGCCTTAATTCACAGTGCCACACCAGGACTCCTAATTAATATTGTTGTTGTTGTTGTTAAGTGTCGTTGAGTCAGTTCCAACCGATAGTGACCCTGTATAGGATTTCCTAGGAGTAGCTGGTGAGCTTGAACCACCGACCTTGTGGTTCAAACCAACTTGGCTGTGCAGTGTATAAGCCCACAGCGCCACACCAGGACTCCAACAAACTTCTCAGGGTCAGGGAAAAAAAGGACGACTCCCAAAGAGATGGACTGACACAATGGTAGCAGCAATGGACTCAAACGTAATAGCAGTTCTGAGGATGGTTTAAGATGAGACAGTGTTTGTTCTGTTGTGCACAGGATTGCTATGAGTCAGAACTCGACAGCAAATAACAGCAACAAGTAATAGTACCATCTTAATTTACTTACTTACTTACTTAGAACAGGTCTTGGTAGTGTATTGGTTACGAATCGGGCTGCGAACCTCAAGGTCGGCAGTTCGAAACTACCAGCTGTTCCGCTGGGAGAAAGGTGGGGCTTTCTCCTCCCGTAAAGATTTACAGCCTCGGAAACCCTGTACAGGGGTCGCTATGAGTCGGAACCGACTCCACGGCACACAACAGAGTAGAATAACTTCTTAACAAGGACTGCTTGGTAGGGTTTCCAAGTCGGTATATCTCTGGGGAAGCCGACTGCCTCATCTTTCTTTCATGATGCATCGGGTAGGTTTCTGAACCATAGACTTTCTGGTTTAGCAGCTCACCCATCCCTCAATGCACCGTGCACCAGGACTCCTTAATTGCTGAAGTGAGGTTAGTTGATGCAGGTGAGGTGAAAGTTATATAAGAGAAAAATGTATTCATTTACTCATTTAAGAGATGCAGGCATCGTAATTCTTCTAAAAGCTCAGTACTGAATGGAAATAAAGGATTCCGGATATAAAAAGACTAGTTATAACTTAATGAGTTTTGGTACTTTTTGAAAAGGAAAAGGAAATTTAAACATGTGTTTTCAGAGCCTTTAAAACAGCAGAAGAAATTCATCATCTTTTCCCCAATAATAACCTAAATTGGATTTTCCTTCTTTTTCTCTTAAAATCACCCCTAAAGGCAACAGATAATCCAAATGGATTTAGCATTTTGTCATTCCCTGCAACGTTTACCCCTGATTCTGATGACCCAGCTAAGGACTCTACATTTGGAAAATATATCTGCAGAAGGACTTATAACCTCAGGGTTAGAGATCAGATATGAAAAAACATTCATGTCCCAGTCTTGCTCAGGGCTCACTCTTCATTTGGCCATGTCAGCCACCCAAGGAAAGGAAATGCTTGTCTCCTTGAGCCAAGAATAGCCTTGGGAGGAAAGAGAATAATTAGACTTGCTTTCACTACCACGAACTTCATGGCTATTCCTTAGTTGAATAAAAGCTGAATATTTGATTGGAGCCATTTTTATTTGTTAGTTAAATATAGAGGACAGTATATTTATGTAGCCAGAGATATATTTTTTTAAAAAATAGGAATCCCTTGAGTCATTTTATATACTTTCTTCCTTCTTGCCTTCTTCCTATTCCAACCATATGACTCTTCAATTAGTATCTACATAGTAGGAACAACTTTAAAACTATAAATCCCTTGAAGTCTTGACAGTTTCCATTTTCCTCTTTTTTTCACTTATCCTTTATTACCAATTTGTCATTAAGTCTCATTTTTATCTCCAGAAGTCTTTCATGTATATGAGCATATAAAATTGCTTCTTTTGTTGCTGTTAAAAAAAAAAAGTTACTCCTTCTGATTTCTATCACTCTACTGGTGTGGCCTGGTGTGGTGTTGTGGGCTAATGAGTCAGACTGCAATGTCGATTGAACTGCAAGGTTGGTAGTTCAAGCTCACCAGCTCCTCCTTGGAAACCTTATGCAGGGTAGCTGTGGGTCAGAATTGACTCAATGGCACTTTACAGCAATAACAACTGGTGTGGCATTGTAGGATAAACATTGAACTGCTAACCACAAGGTTAGTGGTTCACATCCCCAGCTGCTCTTCTAAAACCTTATGTTATTGTTGTTGTAACATGCCATTAAGTCAGTGCTGACTCATAGCGACCCTGTGTAGGGTTTCTGAGGAGTGTCTGGTGGGTTTGAAGTGCTGACCTTAGAGTTGGCAGTCCAGTGATTATACTACAGTACCATACAAGAACTCCTATCAAGGGTCGCTATGAGTCAGAACTGACTCAGCAGCACTTAACACCCACAGCATACTGGGAAGAGGGGTAGAAGCATGAAATAAAATGGGGACTAATATCATTGTCATGACTGAATAACTGGAATGAGGTTGACATATAAAACTAATATAAGACATAGTTCCTGTCTTCTAAGAGTTCACACATTAATCAAATATTATTTGATTAATAAAGAAACAGTTTTTTCATTTAAAATTAAGATGCGAAGTTTACTTTTATGTTTATTTCTGTAAGAAACCAGATTGATAAGCTATAGTATACTGTTGATAGCTTTGAAACCAATATAATAAAAGTCATATAAATACAAATTGGTATTTTTTAAATTCTTGAATATAAATACTAATTTGTTTGAATAGTATATGAATAGTATATAAAGCCAATATAGCTTACTACATTTTGGGGTTAAAAAAGCTGGCACTAAAGTGCCAAGCTTATTATTTAATAAAAAACTATGGAAAATACGTAAGTGGTTATGCTAAGGGGAAAAAAAAAAAAATCCCTGGAAATCAAACTTTGTAAAGAAATAGAGTAGATCATAAATGCTAGGTCAAACTGATAAATAAGGAAATAACTTTATTGGATTTTATATTAAAACAACAATCTTATAAGGAACCCTAGTGGCTCAGGCTGCTAACCAAAAAGTTAGCAGTTAGAACCCACCAGCTGCTCTATAGGAGAAAGATGTGGCAGTTGGCTTCAGTAAATATTGTTGCTGTTAGTGCCATCAAGTCAGTTCCGACCCATAGCAACCCTGTATAGGGTTTCCGAGGAGCGGCTGGTGAGCTTGAATCACCAACATTGAGGTTCATACCGACCTTGCAGTCCAGCACATTAACCCGCAGCACCACACCAGAACACCAGTAAAGATTACAGCCTTGAAAACTCTATGGGCAGTTCTGCTCTCTCCTATAGGGTCCCTATGAGTTGGAATTGATTAGATGTATTGATGTAAGTATAAATATGAACATCTTGCTTAAAAACTCTCTATTAGTTGAGATATACTATCTGCAAATATTTTGTAAAATGTTTTTATGTTAAAGATCATTTAAAGATATGTTAATCTTTATGTCTATCAATAATATAAAAGATAGCCTTTTCCCCTAATATCTTTTCACTACGGCATTTTAATTAGATTGTTTTTGTTGTTGTTAAACGCTGTTGAGTCAGTTCTGACTCATAGTGACCCTTTTAGGTTTTCTAGGCTGTAAATATTTGCAGGAGCAGAGCACCTTATCTTTCTCATATTAATTAGATCATTTATATTGTTGTTAAGTACCATCAAGTCAATTCCCATATGGGGTTTCCTAGGAGCTGGTGAGCTTGAAACACTGACCTTGTAGTTCAAACAGACCTTGCAATCCAGTGCATTAACCCACAGCCCCATACCAGAACTATCTCTATATGTGTGTATGAAAATTATGAATAGGATTATCTATAACCATCTAATGTTTTAGGAAAGTTGAGAGGCTAGTGAGAAGATTACATTTACTACTATTTCCATTTAACTTAAAAAAGACAAAGAAGCAAACTTTTAAATGAGCACTATTTATTTATAGGCCTGAGGTGAACCAAAGAATGGGAGACAATTCTAAAAACCCACAACTGTTGTATCTTTGATGCTTATATTTCTGTGGTCACACATGATCCCCATAATTAGAATGATGCTAGAAATACTTTAAGATTCTCATTGTATGAGTTCAAGATTGGTTAGCACGACATATGGTAGGACGCTGTGCCAGACCACTGTGCTGAGACATGGTTTTCAACAATCCTGACTGCTTTTAGTACTGCTTGAGTTCTGGTTCAAATGTTGCATAATTGGCACCCCGAACCCAAACTGTATAGTAATAAAAACAGTGCTATTTTGGGTTACTATGCATTTAAAACCAGTACCCTGACACCTAGTTTTAAAAGACCCTTTTCATATGTAACCCAGCAAAAACTGAAACTATTATTTTTAGTGGTGACTTCCTTTTTGTTTACAAATTTTGAGGGGTATTTTGTTTTCCTTACGGACTGTTTAGTTCACTTCATAAAATCCTTTCCTGTGCAGTTCTTGAACCATGCTTCCATTATAATTATTTTCCAATGTATGACATAATGCAGCTGGAATTGGCATCTGTACCTCGATTGCTCTAAATATATACATGTGTTAAAGGTTCAAAAAACTTCATACAGTCATGAATGATAATAATGATATTTTGTTGTTGTTGTTCATAGTCTTTGTGAAAGGAACTTTGGTAGCATAATGGGTTATGAGTTGGGCTGCTAACCACAAGTTCAGCAATTTACTTCTACGAGTCACTCTGCAGAAGATAGATGAGGCTGTCTGGTCCCCTAGAGATTTGCAAACTCAGAAACCCTACACAGGGTTGCTATGAGTCAGAACCATAAACCATCACCACCACCACTCTTTGTGAGGATGCCTGATATGGCACTGTAGGATAAGCACTGGACTGTCAGCCCCAAGGTCAGTGGTTCAAACCCATAAGCTATTCCTTGGAAACCCTATACAGGGTTGCTATGCATGAGTCAGAACCAACTCCACAGCACTTAACAACAGCAGTATAACAGCTCTTTGTGAAGTCATTCTTTGTTTCCCTATCGATTGAAGAGCTCTAAATTATTAGATGTAAAACACAGCTAAATGAATCAACTGTAAGATGTCAATTAGTGACTGAATTATGAGCCACTGATAAGATTGTCCTATTTTGGGCAGTGACTTACTAAAGAAAACATAACTCAATGTGCCATGTGTTTTGTTGGTGTTATATCATCTTACAGGACTAAATGTTTCTCTCTCTGTGAGCTTTAAAAGAGAGCTTAGAAATAAATTTTATTTTATTTATATTAAAAATAAGCTTCTTGTAGTAAGCCCTCTTTCTAGCTGAATTTCAATGACAATTGAATTTAGGTGACCTCTATTTAAATTTGGTTTCCTTTATATTATGGTAGCTCATGGTAAACTACAGAGAATGAAAATTACTCTTTATACTTACCTGAACTAGAAACCGTTTCAGAGGAGGATAAAAGAAGGCATGCTTGTAAAGATAATATTGTGGCCTGAATTTAAAGACCTGCATAAACAAAATAAATGAGATATTAATATTTAATGTATAAGACATCTAAAGTAAAAGAAATCAGACCAAAGAAATATGCTAAAATAAATTACCCTATTTTCTTCAGAATCCTCCAACTTGGCTCTTCGATATAAATTTTTCATCTGTTTGAAATAACATTTTGTTATTACAGAGCTTTTCTTGTACATACAAAAAGACACAGATGGAGATCACTATTAAAGATTTCATGAGAGAACTTACTGAGAAAGCACATGCCATTCCTAAAAGGCTCAGCAAAATTAAGGTGGTCTTCATTTTGATGATTGCTTCTGTAGTTAAGGAAGAGGTATGGTTAATAAATATTAAAACTAAAGCATAGCGTTTTTTCCCCCCTTGTACTCAAATATGAAGCACCCATTTCTATGCATGGAGCCTTGGTGGCACAGTGGTTAAAGCACCTACCTGCTAATTCATTAGAACCTCTTTGAAGAAGGAAGATGTGGCAAAGTGTTGCTATGAGTTAGAATCAGCTTGAGAGCAATGGGTTTGGGTTTTTTTTGGTTTTGGTAATTTCCATGAAATTTTCCTTTTGATTTATTTTGTTTAAAAATTGTTCCTTTCATTTAAGCGGTATAAGATTTACTTTAGCACTTTGAGTAATCTATTATTGCAAGAGGCTTTGAATACACCAAGTACTTTACACTGGGGGAGAAGTGGGGTTCCAGTATCACTGATTTAAGAATTCAATGAATTAACTTTAAATGAAGTGAGTTGCTAGTATATTTATGTGCTTCGTTTTGTTTATACCTGAAGATTCAGCAGAAATCCATTGCATTTGAATGATTGCTTTTATGCCAATTACTCTTCATGCAGTTTCCAGCTTATCTACGGGTTATGAATTAAACGTTCATTTGTAACATGAAGACTTTACATAGATGCCATTTTCCTATGGACTATCTCTGAATAGTTGGCATTTGTGTTTTTTGTGAAATGATCTGCAACATGCTGTTCACTGCGTGCAATGCCCAGCAATTATGTCTAAAGATGAGAAGAATTATCAGAGAAGAATTTATCAGAGTTGAGATGTCAGACACAAATTTCTTCAAATTAGGTTGTTTGCTAGCTCCATTTAAGCATCCTTTCTACTAATCTATGTAATGTTTACAGTGTGGTGCTGTGGGTTAATGCGCTGGACTGCAAAGTCAGTTTGAACCGCATGGTCGGCGGTTCAAGCTCACCAGCTGCTCCTTGAAAACATTATATAGAGCCACTATGGGTTGGAACTGTCTCCATGGCACTTAACAACAACAACAACAACAACTCCATAAGGAGTCCTGGTGTCGTGCAGTAGGTTCAGCACTGCACTGCAAACCATAAAGTCAGCAGTTCAAACCCACCAACTGCACCTTGGAAACCTTATACAGGGTTGCTATGAGTTGGAACCAACTTGACAGTTAACAACACCAACAATCTACTATCTTGGACAAGAATGGAAGTGTCCAGTGTCAGGATGAGAGGCATAGTTGGAAGCTCCAGTTCTATGTAAAAATTGAAGGCTCATATTGTGCACACTGCTAAAAACTGCTATTTATAGTACCTACTCCACATTCTAGTCTGTCTCCATTTCTTTTCTCCATCTAGTTCTCCCCACAGGTACTACAGACATCAATGACTCTGTTTCAAGATGCAACTATCCCATCTGCCCACTTGCATTTGCATACACATTTAACAGAGACTGTGTTTTCATAATGCTTTGGCAACATTTTTGAAAGCAATATTCAATAATGATGACAATTTCTCTGTAAGCATGCTTCAAAAAGTTGCATTTAAAACCTGTGGCATATATTGTATTCTACAGGTGGCTGTGCATTTTATCATCTACATCTAAGATTTATTGTGTCCTTGAAGGGTCTCTGGTAGCGTCGTGGTTATGAAGCAGGCTGCTAACCTCAGGGTAAGCAGTTTGAAACTTTCCAGGGGAGAAAAATGAGGCTTTCTGCTCCTTTAAAGATTTACAGCCTCAGAAAACCTATGCAGGGTCGCTATGAGTCGGAACCTACTTCATGGCACATTACCACCATTAGTAGAAGTTGTTGTTAAGTGATGTCGAGTCAATTCTGACTCACAGTGACCCTGTGTAGGGTTTCTAAGGAGTGGCTGGTGGGTTTGAACCACTGACCTTGTCGTTAGCAGTCCAGTGCTTTATCCTACAGTGCCATACCAGGACTACGTATTGAGTGCTGGCCACTAAAGTAAACATCACACAGATTAGGGTTTGAAGCATGAAGAAGCTAGCTTGGGGGGTTCTAAGTCACACTCTATTTGAGTGACAGAATGGATCCTTCCATCTGATGCCTCCACACTTTTCTGGCAGGCTCCTGTATGTTATAAAAGTTTGTGATGGTCTCAAGAAGATGAAGAAGTCTTGTCTTTGAAAGCTTTCCATCAGTCTGCAATTGGGGTGCTTTCTTAATGCTTTGGACTTTGCCACCAGTGTTCAAGCCCATCAGTAATAAGGAACACTATTTCTTTGTAGCTTCATGAAAAAGGTTGGAATAATTTACAGTATTTTAAAGAGTTAAAAACTGCTAAATACACAGAAACAAAGGAAGTTTTGATTACATAAATTTCTTATTACAAACCATGAAAAAACTTGGTGAAAACATGACAAGGATAATATTAAATGAACCAAGTTATCTCTTTAGACAACATTTTAATTTGCTTTGCACTTTATCAAAAACAAAGATTTCTTTAGTAACCACTACCATCCCAGGCAACCATTCAAACCTTCTTAAAGAATAGTTTTGAAAATTTGTTTAGAGGCTGACATTGAGAAGAATATGAAAGACTACCAACATTATATATTTCTTTAGGACTATATATGTTTCACACCGAATTTAGAGCTATAGGATTTTAACACTTTGAAGTAGAGTGCATAACAATATTTTTAAAATATATTGCATATTGCTGAGAAACTGATTAGGTATAATATGATGTGGAAACATGCCTTCATCTAGGTAGGTTTTGCAAAATGATTTTCCAGACAGACCATCATAATGCATCAGAATGCAGAAACAGTTATCTATTATGTGCAGAGATAGAACCCACGAAGCATTGTTTTCTAGTTTATGTGCTCAAGTTAACAAGATAAACTTTTAGGAAAGAATTTAAAATCTGAGATAGTAGTTTAATGGTAAGTATTAAATTACTTAGCCAGTCTCCACAATGCAATAACATCAATATTTAAATTTTTAAAAAAAATCCAAGCCAAGAGAGTATATGGTTTTAAGATATTGAAGCTGTCATAGGAAATCTTACCCTTCTCAGTCCTGGAGTGACAGATTCACAGGAGGGAGTGAGAGGACACAGATTTAATATTTCCTCTGCTCTCTCTCACTTAACTCATTCACTCGCTCCTGCTGGCTATAAACTCTTCTTTGCCTTCCAACAGCCAATCACTGTCATGGTTAAGGTGATGTCAGAATATGGATTCTTACCAAAAAACCCCCAAACTCCAACACTCTTTCAAGACACAAGCTTAGCTGAATAAACATGAGGCGTGATTCTAGTGCCAAGAGGTTTGCATTGTGGAATTTAATTGAAGGTTTGGATGAAGATGAATAGTTTGTGTTCTGAATATATATAATAATATGCTGTATTTGAATTAAAATAAACAGCAAAAGATTTAGCCATCTGAAATGCTCATAATTATACAAGTTTTCACTTTGTTAAAATAAAGGAAGGTTACTATTGTGAAATAAATCCTATATTCGTTTAGTAAAAAGAAACTAAGTAATAAGGGAGAGGCTGATGAATAAGTAGTATTTCTTCCTGAAATATGCTTGAATGACTCATAAGTTTAAATTGATAGGGTTAAATTTGTCAGGATTTATAAGGCATATTTTCTGAAATGCATTGCTAAATCTGAGTTTAAAAGTTCAAATTTGTGAGGACTATGCTTATGAGGCAAGGAGCTCTGGTAGCGTAGTGGTTTCAAGTCGAGCTGCTAACCTTAAGCTCGGCAGGTCAAAACTACCAGCTGTTCCACGGGAGAAAGATGAGGCTTTCTGCTCCCGTAAAGATGTACAGTCTCAGAAACCCTGTGCAGGGTCACTATGAGTTGGAACCGACTTCACATTATTTAACAACATGCTTATGAGGCTGGTTTGGCAATGTAGCATAAGCACTGAACTGTTAACCAAAATGTTGACTGTTCAAATCCACCAGCCACTCCTTGGAAACCATGTAGAGGGTCACTATGAGTCACAACCAACTTGATGACACTTAGCAACAACACTGTTTCTGAGGAACTCTTGTAGCGCTGTGAGTTAGGTGTTGGACTGCTAACCACAAGGTTAGTGATTCAAATCCACCAACTGCTCCTCAAGAAAAAGATGAGATTGTCTTAAACTCATCAGTCTCTCCTGGGAAGAAAGATGTGGCTGTCTGCTTCTGTGAGCGTTTAAAGCCTTGGAAACCTGATGAGGCACTTCTACTCTGCTGTGTAGTGTTGCTTTGGTGGCGTTAGGTTTGATAGTAGGTTATGCTACTGAGAAGCAGGTTTCATCTTAATTTTTTGTAAAATGAATATCTTTAGATTGTTAAGATATCTAGTCCTTTCCTGTATACAGATATCACCTGATCTTATTTTCTTAGGTTTCTAGACACCCTTTTTCCTATCTATTTTCATGTTTAATTTTGTTGGGGTATATTGTTGCTAAATGCCATCGAGTTGGTTCTGACTCATAGTGACCCTGTTTAGGGTTTCTGAGGAGCAGCTGGTGAGTTCAAACCGACCTCATAGTTGAGTGCTTATCCTACAGCGTCACAACAGAAGGAGCTGGCAGGGAGAATCACGTGATATTGAAAGGATTTAAAAAAAAAATCATGCCCACAAAGGACTGGTCATTTTATTTTAGTATAAACTAAAATAAAAATTTATTAATTTTCAAAGCGACATCTAGATTGTTGTTGTTGTTAGGTGCCATTGAGTTGGTGCCCAATCATAGTGACCTTATGCACAGCAGAACGAAACACTGTGCCAAACTAACTATTGTTGCCACACTTGAGCCCATTAATGCTGCCACTTGGCCAATCCATCTCGTTGGGGGTCTTCCTCTTTTTCTCTGACCCTCCATCTTACCAAACATGATATCCTTCT